TTCTCACCCACTGAATTTTAAATGGTGGTTCAACTCGTGTGTATGCCATTTGCTTGTTGGTTTTGTTTGTGTTTTACAGATTTGGGATGAGTGATGGGTTCATAAAGGCTAACATTAAAAGCAGTTGGGACCATTGGGAGCTGTCCTAGCCCACTTTAAATCAGGTTAAGGAAGAAAACAACAGGTCAATAGCATGCCTGGCCCATGCACTCCTGTGAGCCCCTTTTTTATGGAGTTGCCCTTCATAGCTGCAAGTGCTGCTGCTTCCGGCTCAGCAGAAAGACCTCGTCTGTACTGGACATGCGTGTGTTCTGTTATTCCCTAAACACCACAGCATAACGAGTGAGCTGTCTGGACACAACTGCCCATGTACAAGAGGATGTGTAGGAACTGTACAAACTCTGTTGCCACTGGGGACTTGGGCATCTAAGGATTTGGGTCTCTCAGGGTGTGCTAGAACAGATCTCCCGCAGACACTCAGGTAACTACCCATGTGCATTGATAATAAGTCCTGTGGGAGGACTGTGGCTTGTGACGTGTGCACCATGCGCTTCCACGCCACCCAAACACGGACCAGCTGCCTCCTGCACACCCTGTATACGGTCTTGAGCTGCGGTGTGCTGCTGGAACCGATTTATATTCACCCCTGGATGAAACCACCTCCAGACTGTCCATGTCCTATAAAGGCACAAGATGTGAAAACGCACACTGGCCCATGATGACTGACCATTGGTGTAGTATACGATGCCTTCAAGGAAGCACCTCCAGGGCATGGAATGTGGGCCTGGTGGCTGCATGGCTGTTAAGTCTGTTTGTCGCCCCCCTAATTTCATGCATTTCTAATACTTCTCAAGAACTGACAAAGACACCATGATGCTGTCTTATATTTTAAATACTGTGAGGCCTAGGATCTGTTTGAAGCAGGTATCTCACTTCCGTGCCCCAAAAGTTCATTAGCTGAAGAAGGCTGAGAGATAGGAAGGTCACAAGGTCAAGACCAGTCTGGGAAAAAGCAAGGTCCTTTTTCAGAAATTCATTAGCAAATCTTACTATGCCAACTTCTGTAACTGACTCTCACATCATAGACCCACACAGCAGTGGTCTGTGTTGCCGCCTTTGGGCAATCCGGCAGGGAATGCTACTGGTTGGGATAGCCATGGCCATGCTGCCTGGGACCTAACACTCACTCTTTATCACCCACCAGACTGCTGGGATTTCAGAAATGATTTTCACTGTAACGTTCAAGGTATTTTGTAAATTATTTAAACCTGGCAATGAAGAACAAAACTCCATGCATCTATATTCATCTGAAAACCGATCAGAACAAAAGGAGATTAAGTAGGTGATATGCATATCTGGCAGTTACAAAAGATGGCGGGGGCGCTGGAGAGATGGCTCACACTTAAGAGCACTGGCTGCTCTTCTAGAGGACCTGGGTCTGACTCAGTCATCTGTAACTCCAACCCCACAGGATCCAATGTTCTTTTCTTAAAGCACTGTATGCTCAGACATACATGCAGGCAAAACACTAATAAACAGAAATAAAGGAAAAAACTTAAAGATGTGTATAGATGACCAGAGTACTGTCTGTGGTGTCAAGTGTTCTGTTAAAGGGTTGTGTGGTTCACCTCGTGTGTGTTCTACAAATAAAAACCACATAGAAAGCATCAGAGGAGACAGGTGGGCTGCCTGGAAATGTTAAAGAATGGGCCATGATGTTTCTTACCACACGTGCAATCATGATGGAAGATTCTTTTATGGTTGTTTTGTTTTTTTTTTTAAATTCAGATGTCCTCTTCCTGCATATACCTCCTTTTCCCGCCACAGAAGAGATGAAGTGGATGGCAGATACATGTAACCCCAGTCAGAAAGGTGGTAGGGAAGTCAGGGGACAAATCCAGCTGGTAGTTTCTTCTTTGTTCTCCATAGCAATGGACTGACACAGAAGCCAGGAGTCCACGAGGCAAGGGCTCATCAGAGAAGCAGCCACTGAAAGGAAGAACCCACGCCCAGGCCTGTGGGCCGCAAGAAAAGCGTAGCACTGAAAATTGAACAAGCTGGGTGTGGTGCTTCAAGCCTGGAATCCCAGGACTCAGCAGGCAGAGGCAAGAGGATCTCTGAGTTTGAGGCCAGCCTGGTCTACAGAGTGAGTTCCAGGACAGCCAGAGCTACATAGTGAGACCCATTCTCTAGTGGGGAGAAGGACAGTTGGGATGGCCTTGGTTTTGAAACAGTGCTTATTACTAACTGGAGAATGTCTTAAGTGGCATTGGTTGCGTAAATTCAGCAGCGAGCAGCCGCCACCCAGACTTCATTCTGTGTTGGGATTTTGGTCTTCATTACTGTGATTGCACATTGCCATTGTTTTGAAACATGCTGCAGGCCACCGCAGCACTCAGGGTGACACCGACAGTTTCACGTGGTCCTCTGACCCTAGTAGAACCTCCGTTTAGGCTTCCTACACATAAAAAAAAAGTGACTGAAATTAGGAAATCTCAAGAAATTTCTACAGAGGTTTAAAGTTGCTTAAGTTTGAGATATGTGTAAGGGAAGTCACGTGTTAAAGTTTTGGCTTTATGATGGTCATTTCAGTGGGAAGGAAAACCGTGAGAGACTATATACCTAGACTAGTGATTAATAAAATCTCCCGTGTTTTGAGTTGGTAATTTGCCCTGATGTTGGATACATTATTAAACATGTCTGATTTTTAAAATTGGAGTTCTTTTTGGATATGAAGAGAACCCTGGACTCTTCTTTGGCCAGCCAGCCTTCCTCTACATCAAATGCAACTGTCGGTTCTTTTTTGTTTGTTTGTTTTGAGACAGAGTTTCTCTGTGTAGTCCTGACTGTCCTGGGACTCTCTATCTGTAGACCAGGCTGGCCTCAAACTCACAGAGACCTACCTGCCTCTCCCTCCCGAGTGCTGAAAAGGCGTGTGCCACCACACCTGGCTGTAACCGCTAGCTCTTACTGTGTGATGTTTTGTTTTTCAACAATCGAACTCAGTAGGAAAAACCAGAATAATGAGGTTAAGAATTTATGGCTTGACAGTTCAAGAGGTGGTGCAGGAGCCAGAGGTGCCTGCTGCCAAGCCTGAGATCTGAGTTTGATCTCCAAGACTCACAAGTAGAAGGAGGGAACTAACTCCTCAGAGTTGTCCTTTGACCTATGGGTGTGTGTATGTGCTTGTGCACACGCGCACAAACACTGAAACTAAATGTAAATAAACTGTAGAACTTATCGTGTGAAAGCTGCTTTCGGGGACCACTGACATAACTGACCATGAAATTAGGCTCCACGGTGTGAGACTTGGAGAGCCTAGACCGTCTTCTCAAGGCAGACTGAGAAGCAGATGGACCACGAGTGTGGTTTGCATACATTCACGGAAATACATGGGAGTCTGTGCTCTTCGAATTCTGCCCATGTTGGTGGTGGAAGACACCTTTAATCCCAGCACCTGAGAGGCAGATGTAGACTGATCTCTGTGAGTTTGAGACCAGCCTGGTCTACAGAGTTCGTTCCAGGATGGCGTGTTACACAGGGACACCATCTCAAAAGAAAAAAAAAATTCTGCCCATATTTCTTCTAATTAGTCAAAATTTAGTTACTAATGTTACATTTCTTAGGAGTCAGAATATTCTGGTCATCTCAAAATGGTAAAAACCAGTAAGAATTCCCTTTGTGTGATCTGGCCAAGGAAGGGACCAGCAGAGCGAGGAACCTTTGTTCCTAAGTGGTAGGAGCTGAACTCAAACACTACAATGCCAGTTGTTGCCTGGGCTGAGCTCAGTGATGCCAGTGAACCCACCCGTATCTCTGTTGCTGCTCTTTGCAGAATGTCAGATTAGCAGTCATACAGTATTTGACTTTTCCATACTGGCTTCTTTTAACCCAGCGACAGGAGTGTAAGGGATCTTTCTGTTGTTTATTGGGCTGACAGCACATTTCTTTTTAGTACTGAGTTTCTACTAACTGAAGGAGATCTTGGTGGCTCCCAAGCACTGTCAATGTGTGGATGAAGCTGCTGTAAATATCAAGGTGCAGGGTGTTGTGTGGGCATCAGTTTTCTGGTCACCTGATGACATACTGAAGCTAAGAATGTGTTTCCCAAAGCAGTGGTATCACTCCACACTCCTGTTTCCCAAGTCACAGTCTCCATGACTCTGCCTCCTTGTCCGTACTTGGCACTGTCTGGGATTTCGACTGTTCTGGTAAGTGTGTACTGTACCCTTCTTGATGATGGCATGTGGTGATGAGCGCCTTCATACGCCTTTGAGTGTGTCTTTGGTGACATGTCTGTCTGTGTCCCGGGCCAGGGGCTTCGTTTCCTTACTGCTGAGTTTTAAAAGTTGTGTATTTTAGATAAAAGTTTTTTATAAACAATTTCTCCCAATTGCTTTTTATGCATTTTAATTTCTTTCAACTGTTTCCTTTTTCTGTATTTAAATTTTTCTAATTTTAAAGGAGCACTGTGTTCCACTGCTTCAGTTTCTCATGTATAAAAGATAAACTTACAAATCTACAACAAAGCCTGGCTTCACCCCTGATATTTTACCATGAATTATTCTCCTTGTTATTAACTGCTCAATTGTAATTTTGCTTTTTATTTTTCTTTGACTGAAGGAAAGTAAGTGAGACTGTAATTTACAAGTAAAAGTTTTTGTTTTGTTTTTGCATTTTATATCTAATTTTATTCATGTGTGAAGACAGAAGATGACTTAGACACTGTTTTTGGAGAGGGTTGGGAGTTTGGGTTTGTTTTTCTAAATTAGGATCAAACTCTGTAGCTCGGACTGGCCCAGAACTGGCTATCCTCCTGTCTCCATCTCCCAAGTGGTGCACACATACTTTCTAAAGTTTACAGTTTGTGGCTATGTTCAGGATTTTGTTTTGAGACAAGAACTCACTACATAGCCATGGTTGGCCTGGAACTTCCTATGTAAATCAGGTTGGTTTGAACTCAGATCTCCCTGCTGGTATTAAAGACATATGCCATCATGTATATAGCCCAGGATATATTTAATGATTTCACCAACATATTTTTAGTTGTGGGTTGGCTTACCCCAAATATATCCATAAATTACCATTATTCTAGAAATCTATGCACATGTATGCTAAAATACCATGCCATCATAGCACACATAATGAACTTATGTAAACTCAAGCTGAAGTTAATGGTGACGTCATCACCACTGCTTGGTGCTCCTGCAGCCTGAGCACATCTGTCCATTACGCGGATATTCATTCAAGAGCAATCGAGCTGAGAATGCAACTCCTCCCCTCCTTAGTACTGTTGCTAACATTGGTAGCGGGGTTACTTGTTTTTTAGGGATCTGTTTGCATTTTGGAGCACAGTATTTTCTTTCTTTCTGTGTGCCTTCATTCGTCACTAAAGGTACACAGGCCATCTGCCGGTGCCGCCGGTGCCTGCCTTGCAGAGAACAGCTTGCTTCTAGTTAGTATCATTTAATTGTCCTTCTGCAGCCTGTGCTTCTGTCCACATTCAGCCACCCCTGTGCTAGTGGGATATTCATGTGTCCAGTCTTGAATGTGCTGCTGCTTTTTAATTACGTTACCCATTTGTTTCTTTCAACCACTTCTTTATTCAGGTTACATTGCCGTAGAAGGGCATCTTTAGCCAGTGCTGGATTTCCTTTGTCCTGCCCTAGTAATTGAATGTATAGCATTTCTTTCTTCTTCTTCTTTTTGTTTTTTTTTTTTGTTTGTTTGTTTGTTTTTCGAGACAGGGTTTCCCTGTATAACAGTCCTAGCTGTCCTGGAACTAGCTCTTGTAGACCAGGCTGGCCTCAAACTCACAGGGATTCACCTGCTTCTGCCTCCCAAGTGCTGGGATTACAGGTGTGTGCCACCACAACCCAGCCTGCGTTTCTTTCCCCTTGGTCTTGCGTATGATAAACTTCATCTACACATTTGTGATAAATGGCCTTTCCATCATGTAAACTGGAAAAATGCTAATTTGTCGGAAAAACAGCAACAGTGATTTAGTGACATACTGGATAGCTCTTTTTGGGTCTCAGTTTTAGAGCAGAACTGTATTCACCTTCACTGCTATGACAAACACCTGGGCAGTGGAGCTCAGGGAAGAAAGAGTTACTTTGGCTCATGGTTTCAGTCAGTGGTCTCTGGTCCCACTGAGTGAGACAGGGCCACATGGCAGAATGGTAGGATTAGCCAAACTGCTCACCTCATGGCAGTGAGGAAACAGAAACAGGAAAGGATCAATGCAAGATTTTCACTATGCTAAAATCAACAAGGTGAAGGCATAGTTAGGCAAATCCTAACTGTGGAAAGTATGTTAGTGTCTACCAGAGGGCTGGGACAGAGGAGAGGAAACTGCTGCTCAGTAAGCTTCTTTGAGGGTGATAAAATAGTCTAAAATTGGACAGTGGTGATTGCTGGTAACTTGAATAAACCAAACATCAGTGAGATGGGAAACTGGGGGCTGAGAACATAGTTTACTGGCAGAGTACTTGGCTAGCATGCACAATGTCTGGGTGTGACCCTAGCACCACAAACCAAAAAAAATTTTAAAAAAAAAAAAGGAAAGAAAGAAATGAATTTCATGTCAATAATGCTATTACTCAAACACAAAAAAGGTTCATGAGCATGACTTCCTACTTTCCCACGCCGGAAGTACCGCTAGGGAAGACAAAGGAAAGCTGTCCCTTTTGTAGCCAGAGAATCGGAGTCCTGATAGCGCTCGGTTAGTCTATCTGATAGCTTCACACAGTCATTTTCATATGCTGATCCTTACCCTCTCTGGATCCAGAGCACATTACTGCAGAACTAGGTAAAATAGCCTAGAAAGAATTTTTAGGAAAAAAAAAAAAAAGACTGTTCTCAGCAAGAAGGAAAAATGGAAGCGTGCAAGACCACACATACACCGGTGTGCAAGCAGTGAGGGAGTGCCAAATATGTAGCTGACACATTAACGGGTAAAAATTGGTACTAGAACGTATAGCCCACGGCACACACGAGGAAAACAGCCTCTGTACGTTCTAGCTTGTTCTCTCCAAACAGCATGTGCATGGTACGCTGAGTGGCCTGGCAGGGCTCTGGGATAATCTAGGATGGTCGCAGGCGGACAGGCACTCTGGTCACGGCGGCTCTGTCCCAGCACTCTGTGAAAAGCTGCCTTCTGCTTCTGCACACTGGCAGACCAGGCTACCACGTGTCTGCAGAGAACCGCACGGAGCCTAAAAAGAGGGTACCATGGTTCCTGTACTGTATTCACACGGAGGATGGAAGACAGCAGCTGTCACTTCTCAAGGTCTCTGGCTAACGTTTCACGGATGAACTGTAGGGTACGCTGATACAAAAATGCATCCTTTTTCTTCGGCTTACAGATGTTCAAGTGGTTGACATCCACAGGAATTAGATCCCCAATGCCTAAGTCTGAAGAAAGCAGAAGTATCAGTAAAGCAAAGGGATGCCAAGTTTGCCTGAGCGGAACTCGACTCCGTGCCCAGCGAGTGGAAGTCTCAGTTTCTATTTTTCCTCCAGTTTCATGCGTCCAAGCAGAGCCTGAGCACTGGCACTGCAGAGACGACCCTGGGCCTGCAGGCTGATACAAACCATCCGTGTGTGCGTGTGTGCGTGTGTGCGTGCGTGTGTGTGTGCACGCGTGTGCGTGTGTGTGTGCGTGCGTGTGCGTGTGTGTGTGTGTGTGTGTGTGTGTGCGCGCGCGTGTGCATGTGTGCGTGTGCATGTGCATGGAGGGGGGAAGGATGAGCAGGATTTAGTACTTCAATATTTAATTTCTTGGGGGACCAGAAGGGTATCTGCTGTTTCAGTCTGGCAAGTCCACCTGGATGCAGGTTAACAAGAGATGCCAATGAGTCACCACTGAGCGGAGGGAGGAGGGCAATAAAGAGGACAGTCAGAATTACGGGGACAAAGCTATGGTGCTACAAGCAGCTGCTTAGGAGGCTGGCTCTGCGGTCTAAAGCAACCTTAGACATCTGGCAGCCATGCTTGGAAATCTTCAGGTAGCTGCTTTGCTGTGGTGCATACTGAGATGAGGACAAAGCTCATTATGCAAACCAAGAGTCCTGGCTGAGGCAAGCACACTGTCCCTGGTACCCCGAGTCATTGCTGAGACAAGCTGTCCCTGGTCGCTAAGAGCTTGCCACTGCCATGAGCTATCAGGACAGGACCTAAGCCAGCCTCAGAAAGGAGTGCCAAGAGACGCGGTCAGTCGGGAGGCCCTTCAGAGAGCAGTTGTCGGGAGGCTCTAAAGAGAGTGTGGAAGTAGAGTCTCCACTAGAAGCAGGCATTACTCCCATCTGCCCATACTTTAGCATTAGGTTCTTCTAAATTATTTCCTGCTTGAATATTCCCTGTACATCTTCTATTACCAAAATTTCCAAACTTTTATAGCCTAGATGTACTAAAACTTTTACATTTATTATTGGTTTAAGGTTTCTCTGCAGCTATCGATTTGCTGAACACACGCCCCTTTTCAAGCCTAGAGAAGTGCTTGGTCACCTCCTCAATGCAGGTCCTACCGCTGGTGCCTCAGAGCCTGCCAACTAGCTGGTGTCCGATCTATGGGGGCTCAGGCTGTGTGCTTGCACAGGGATTTCAATCTGATGCTAAAAGTATAATGAACTTAGACTCTGGATTTTTATCAAACTCTCTCCTATATATCCCTAAGACACTGGATATAAAAACTGGCATCTACTAAATGCTGGGTCCCATCAAGTAGGCATCCAATAGCTGCATGCCTCCAGAGTGAGTACCTGCTGACTCCACGGGCACTATATGTAGCTTAATCATGCTGCCGATAAACGTTGGCTGTGTTTCTACAAAATTCAGCACCTGGAAGTTCTTGTCTTTCGCAAACTCCACAAAGTCATCCTGTAGCGCCTTAAGTGCAGGAGAATCTGTAAAGCACACAGAGAGAGACTGTGACATCCCATCGCTCAGCTCAGGACAAAAGGCGTTCATTTCTACTCAGAGGATGTTAAAATTCTGACTCACAGCGAACTCAGGCAGGAGAGAAGCTCAACAGGTCTGAGGGGATGGCTATTCTTGGTTGTCAACTTGACTATACATGGAATTAACTAAAAATCCAAACTGCTGGGCATCTCTGAGATTTTTAGTTAACTGGATCATTTAAGGTAGGAAGATCAGTTCAGCAAAAAACATGTAATGATTGTATATGCACGCATCCAACATGGAACCACCCAATTGTGTAAAAAATATATTAGACCTAAGTGCAGAGACAGATCAACATAGTTGGAGGCATCCAGACCCTACTTTCCACTACGCTAGGGTTATCCTGAAAAGAAGCTGAAAACAACACACAGTGACTGGGCCTAACGTGGATTCTCAGGACGTTCTGTCCAGAGTGGCAGAGTACACATTCTTCTGTGCACACAGTGTTCTCTAGGACAAATCATGTCAGGCAAGAATTGGTGTTGATGACAAGTACACACTGTGCTCACAACAGTTTGTGCATGTTTTGACAGCTGATGATTTTCCAAACTCATGAAAAAGGCAGTGTACTAGCTTTGAAGAAAAACCATAATTTGTCTAAGTTTGAATACTTGAGATAACATAAAAATTACAATTATGATTGAGTAGATAGTCGGTCAAAACAAAAAAAGCGCTATCAAAGGAAAACAAACCCAAGCTAAAAGCTGTATGCGAATTTAAAAATAAGGGAGTATATTTAAGGAAGAAACTGATTGCTTTCCCCTTTCCATATATTGATGTTCTACAAGCGCAATCCCCTTCACAACGGAGAGCTTTATTTACCCTTGCTGAGTTCTTTGACTTCCAAAGAAGGAAAGAGAAGATATCGAATATTAACCGAATATTCAGCCAAATGTGATCCGTGGTGAGGGACACTGTAAAAAATCATTCCTCTGGTATTGTTTATGACAGAGCTCAGTTCTGGCTTCTTAGAGGCTTCCAACAACATCTTTTTGACAAGAAGACCTAGCCACGGTGAAGAGAGAGAGTGTAAGTGGTTTCCTTCCTAGACAGAGATGTACTAAAATTCCAATAATTTCCTTTATACAAAAAAAAGCCTTTATAGTAATGATACTACATAGAATTATGAGTGTGAGTCTACAAACAGTCCGCAGATGGCTTTGTGGTGCAGACCCTTCTCTCACAGACTCCACTGCCTCGGTGAGGAGAGTCCGGCCCTGCCTAAGCCATCAAGCCCACCCCAGAAGAGCTGCAGTACAAAGTCTCAGGTCCTGCCAAGGAAAAGCGGCTGCTATGGGAAAGGCACCCATGAACGCCTAACCACGTCCTCTGACCTGGGAATAAAAGACACCAGGGACGGTGACTGGACTTTTTGAGAAGCAAAAGCACCTTTCTCAGGCTGAGCCTTAACCATGGCTTTTTGCTAAGTCACAATCAAGCACTTTGTTAGCCTCGGTAGGCAAGGGCCTTAAGCAAGGTCATGGAGAAAGCTGAGAGCTGGTTTATGGGAGGGCAGCAGTAAGGCATGCAGCTAAAGTAAGGGCAGGCCTCCACGCACAGCAGCCAGGCAACAGCAGAGCTGACAATGTGGAAAAGGCATGGATGGGAAGAAAGGGAAGCCCCCGAAGCCCCCGGGAATGCTAGCTTAACTGAGTCTAACTGGTCAACAGCCCACAGTAATGACGCTGACTCATAATGACCATGTGAAACCATCTATGCCCTCCCACACAGTTTGTTAGTACCTGTCCCCTTCTAGAAGAACAAATAGCATGGAAGGAGAGTAGTAACTTTAAACCGCTTAGCTAAAACATTAACTTGGGGTGGGGAGACTAGTTAAGTAAAACAGACAGATGCGGAACTTTGAGTTGGCCGCAACCTTGACAACCACCTCATGATGGTCACTCTGTGAAGATGAAACCATCCTTACCTCCCATGCTATGTGATATCCAAATCATTGGCCTATCCCCAACACCAGCAGCTCTGAGCTTGCTGAGAAGTTCGTTGCTTCTGAATGCAATGGACTTTCTGAACAAAACGAAAACAGCAAGTATGACGGGAGGCACCATCCTCCAAATCTTGCTACCTAACTTTCTAAGACAAGAACGTTTGCTTGTTCAGTGCTACTGGCTCACACTCTGGAATGCAGGCTATGCCAATTTTATTCTCTATCTGAAACTTATTAGTACTCAATAGTTAGGACTATCTAAGCCCACAGCAGGCCACTCATACACTAAGCACACATTTTTTGAATATCACATGGATCTGGCAATTCTTACAGGTTGAACATGGGTCTCATCCCAGGTGCCCTAAATACTTAAGTATGGGGGACATCCATGGCTTGACAATAAAATGTCCCGGAGACTTGACTCAGTTCATTCCTACTTTGTTTATGCCATGGACATCAACCTTTCACCCCTGGATTTATGCACTAAACACTAGAAAATGATCATCAGACTCCACAGTGAGTGATTTCAGACTCACTTGACTTCAAGCTTCGCAGTCTGCTGGTTTCATTCTCTTCAACTCTAACACCTTTTGTTTCTGGGAGACAAAGGTGGGCTGGGTGCCCCTCTGTTGGCACCCATGTGGGCTCTGCTCATCAAACAGCATGCTGTGTCACCAACTAGCTCTGCTCTCTCAGGAAAGCGGCACAGACCCTGGGTGACTTGCCCACACTGCAGTGAGCTGGGCTGGGACTCGGCTATCTAGGTCCTGGACCCCAGGAAGGCGCTCGCTGCTCCTTAGGACACAGAAGGGACACAGGCCACAAGTGCGTGGCATCTTTCTCCTTGAGCTGCCCTCAGCCAGGATGGTCATGAGGACACAAGAACTATCAGTTTTACTCAGCAGTAGTGAAGACTGTGACCAAGACTTGGGGTCCTATACCGCTACAGTTACATGAGGCAGGTCAGGAGCTCAGCACAATGCTGTGCCTCATCTTTCTACTACTTATTACTTAATGCAAGCAAACTCCTGGAAGGAAGAAGACAACACTGGTAGGGACTGGAGTGTCTGCCAACATGCAAACACCTGTGCTCAGTTCCCAACGTTGTTCGAAAGATAAACCTGCCTGTGATGGCAGAGGACCCACTGCGGCCTGAGCCCTTCCCATCTGACCGTCTAGTTACCCTCTGATGTTACCTCTCCATGGGGCACCTGGCTCTCCAGTCGCTGAGGCTGGTGTCATACTCCACAGATATGATGCGAAGCGCAGGACAGTCTTTTGCTAGCCATGTCTAGAGAAAACAAAACGTTTCTGAGCATACGCATGCATTTCCCCATCCAGTTACTTCCTAGTAATTGCTTTGTGCAACCAAAGGCCTCCTGCAACAGACAGTACAGAGGCCACTGGGATACACTGGAGGTGGAGGTGCTCGCTGGAGATGCTGGTAAGCCATAAAATGCCATCAATATTTATAACAAAGGCAAGTGAAGGTATGAGAACACCATTTATTTGCCAAAATCAAGACTTATTCTGGAAGCTTTCAGCAGTTAGTAGAAAGCTATTGTCTCAGAACAGACTGTATTTTCTGTTGTAATGCACTGAGACCTGAGAATTGGAAACTAATGCTGTGTTTGTCTCTGGGAGCTGGAAGTTAACATCCCCAGACCTCATCAATAGAGAGAAGAGCATGCTATTCTTCCCTAGGAAGTGGGTGGGAGAAAAGCCCTGGAAACCACTCATACACAGCATTCTTCTGCACAGACTTTGAACAATTTCACCCCATGAACTCATTCTGGAGCTGTGGCTCTTTGGAGGAAAAAGAAATCAAAGAATTGCAAAGGAGATTACGTTATCCAAATCTTTCTACCTTTATAATTATTAAGGTCATAAAGTTGGCTAGTACAAGTAAATTATGGCTGTATTATCTTTTAAATTATGAAGCAAAGTGAATTATTACACTCTTTTCGTACTTTATCACTCATGGAGTATTATTCAAGAGGCACAGAATATACCCTAACAGAAAGTACACAATGCAGGGCCGGCAGTGCCGGTGCTAGGCCATGGGTGACAGTCACAGCCATGGCTCCTTACCTTAGGCCAGCACGTAGTATACCTGTCCTCATCCACAAAAGCATTTTCCAGTAGAACCCGTTCACTGTCCTGCTGGCGCCAGGTTTTAAATGCTGCTCCCATCAGGCCATGAATAAAAAGGACATCGGCTTTAATGGGCTGACTAAGAGGGAAGAGAGTTTTAAAAAGAAGCAGAGTAAATGCATTACTACTGTGACAAGCTCCGCGGCACTCCCTGGAGGGCTTAGGCAGGCTGACATGACAGAGGAGACTGAATTAGGGCAAATGCTATCAGCATGGGCTGCTGAGGAATCCTGGGATGTGACAAAGACAGCACTCATTGCTCCGGGCATTTAGCCCGGCAGACCAACAGAGCAACTATAGTGAACCGTGATCCACATGTGAGCGAGGCCACCACGAGGCTACCCTCTAAATGAGGCTATGAAAGCATTCCACAAACCAACTAAGGCATCTAAGAAATTAGACAAGATGTGCTAATATAATGGCAGCCACTGCACATGAGAAATGTCAGGGGACCTCTGTAGACATGCAGCGGCCTCATGAGGAAACCCAAGACAGCACACCTCATTCCAGGGTTGGAAGGAAACTTACTGACTCAGCCAGAAAGACACACCCAGTACCTTGACCTCCCTCACATTGTCATAGCAGGCAGGACAACCTGAGTCAGGATGGGAAGATGCAATCTCAGAAGAGGCGAAAGGGAGCTGCTCCCATAAGCCTGTAAATCTCATCCAAACTCAAATCCCACCAGCTAGCATAGAAGGTTACCATGTTCAGGGAAGAGGGATAAAAGACTAAAATGGGGAACAGAAATGCAAGGAAAGAGAAAATGTTTATAGAAAATTATCATTTTGTACTTCAGCTGGCTTAATGTTTAGTAATTACATTAATTTAAAAAACAAGGGAACCAGCGGTGGTGGTGCATGCATTTAATCCCAACACTCAGAGGGCAGAAGCAGACTGATCTCTGTGAGTTCAAGGCCAGCCTGGTCTACAAGAGCTAGTTCCAAGACAGGCTCTAAAACTACAGAGAAGTCCTGTCTCAAAAATAAAAAAATAAAATAAAATAAAAAAGAAAGAAAAAGAAAAAACATGGGAACCATTTGACATTCCAAAGTTCGTGTGTGTGTGTGTGTGTGTGTGTGTGTGTGTGTGTGTGTGTATACACTAAAAGTCCTAGGCAGAAGTAAAAATCATAAGTAATAAAACTGCTAATTTAGAATAAACCTGAGAGTTTAGGAAACTACCAATTTTTCTAAAAGATGTTAAAAACAGGAAACTTTTGGAGACTGTATCCAAATCCTAGATGAGTCCTGAAGATTCCAGACATCTGACCATGTCTCCTCCTTTTATAGCTCCTCACTCTATTGACCCGCAAGAGGAACAGAAGATGAGGTGAGCTAAAAAGAGGAGGGTCCAGACAGTGCCTGCCCTTCCTGGATTCCAGCTTTCAGGGCCCTCCGGGATTTTTCAGAATTACTGATTGCTTCACTGACCCACGAAAGAACAGGGTGACTTGACATTTCCCTCCCTCCCTGCAGGTAGCTCCTAAACAGCCAGAGGTGTTCACACAAGTCTGTGTACGAGGCATCACCTCTCCACCACTGTGTCTTTCCTTGGGCTCCTCTTACATCTCACAGACACGGGGACATTTTCTGTGGGGTTTATGCTGGGTGTGTTCTGGTTTACTGTAATTGTAGTGTGTGTTCTGTGTTCATAATAACTGCTAATTTCATGTAATTGTTGTGCATGATTTTTGTTGGTTGGTTCCTATCTTGGGGTTTCTATTGCTGCGATGAAACACAACACAAAGGGGGAAGGGTTTATTCAGTTTATACGTCCAGATCACAACCCATCACTGGAGGAAGTCAGGACAGAAGAAATTTCAAGCAGGGAGGGAATCTGGAGGCAGGACCTGATAGCCATGGAGGATACTGCTTACTGCCCTGCTCCTCATGGCTTGCTCAGCCTGCTTGCTCCTTATGGCTTGTTCAGCCTACTTTCTTATAGAAATCAGGACCAACTGCCCAGGGATGGCACCACTCACAATGGGCTGGTTCTTCCCCTACCAATCACTAATTAAGAAAACGTCTTATAGCTAGATCTTATGGAGGCACAACTGAGGCTCCTTCTCCCACGGCTCTGGCTTGTCAAGCTGGCACACAAGACCAGCCAGTACAGTTCTTATTCTTCGAGACCACAGTAAGGAGGGTTTGTCTCTTGGTCTAGTTATCCAGGTGATGTTTTCCTACTCGTTCTCTTTCTCTGAGCACGGGAAGGCCACTGTCTCAAGTTCATCCTCCCTACAGTATAAATATGTAAGAATTTCATTACTAAACTGGAATGAAACTAAGAAAAATACAAAAGATATACTTTAAATCTAGGTAACAATGAGGTTTGCTTAAGAAAATGGCAAGAATAAGATTTCAGAGTTTAATCAAGAGTGATTCTAATTCATTTTGTTGAAAACTTAGATTCTCGCCTCTTTTTCAACTAGTAAATTTACTTTATAAGTTTTAACATAAAGGCTGTATCATCTTGATTTACCAATGTAGACACTTCCGTGTACTATTTAGATACATGGTACACATGCATGATGTTCCCCTAAAAAGCATTCAGTTCAAATTAGCTCAAGTAAGTGGTCACCCCAGATTAGCTCAAATGCCTTTTAGTTTATCATGGGGTGGGGATTTCGGGACAAAAGCTTGAGCTCCAGGAGCACCGCCAAGCCAGGCGCAGCCACTGTCCTCATGTGACACCAACATTCCATCTGCAGCACTGGGAAGGACTAGTGAAGGACTCCTGTACCCCAAAGTCCACCAGTCCTGCACTGACGTGAGCGTTAAAGAAAATCTGGGACAAAGAGACAAGAAGTTTACAAACTAAAGCATCTTGGCCAAGGTGTGGTCCTGATCACTGAGTTTGAGGTCTACAAGGCAGGCAATCTAAGTCCTTGTTACTTGAGGAGACACCAGTTCAGGAGGTGGTTACTCAGACTCCACAGTACAGCCCCACCCTCAGGGATGCCCATTCTCATCTAGGTGGCCCCAAGGGCTCTGCTGTCCTCGGAGTGCAAGGTAACTGGAAGCTTAGGACACTAGCACACAGGCACACACACAGTGACTTAGGACACTAGCACACAGGCACACACACAGTGACTTAGGACACTAGCACACAGGCACACACACAGTGACTTAGGACACTAGCACACAGGCACACACACAGTGCCTTCACACACGGAAGGGGATGAGTTAATTTGGGTAGGCTCCCCAATGCGCATTAACAGGCCTAGGAGGGCAGGAGTCTGGCCCAGAGGAAGGAGACACAGTGAAGGCAGAGATGCCAGACTTTAGCCTTCTGGTTGCCTTGTGGATCCAAAAGAAAGACCATGCTTTTCATCAAAGGCAGTACCTCTGGCATTTGGACTTCAAGTGTTTTCTAATTAACTAATTTACATGTCAAGAAAATGGTTTTCTAACCTCAAAAGTTTTTTTTGTTTTGTTTTTTTGTTTTTTTTAGAAAAATAAGGCAGAAAGGAACCATCAAGTCTGAGAAATAAGGATAAAATGTTAAATTAGTTTTTGGTTAAAATAAGGCTGAAACCAAAGGTAATTCTTTGAAGTGAGGATCTGTATGCTAAAATAAGATTCTGTTCTAAAGAGAGTTTATTCACCCTGGCAAATGACATGAGACCCAAGGTGTGCAACAGGCAAAGGTCAGAGAACTTAGGTGTGTGGCTGCACTTCTATGGTTACAGGCTAGTACCATCCTGACGGACACACAACTAAACCCAACCTCCCAGTGACAACGAGCAAGGCAGCTGAGAGAGCACAGCCTCTGCTCCTCTGCTGAGAGAGCACAGCTTCTGTTCCTCTGCAACCAAGCCGACCTTTAAACCCGAGGACCTCAGTTTTCTTTGCTGGGCTTTCTCCTTCCACTTATGAACCCTAAACAAGAACCAAACTCTCCCTTACACCACTGGGGGTTCATCTTCAGCTTTCCTTTTTCGGTCTTTTGTGGATACTTTTAAAAACAAATGCATTTGTTAGTTTGTTTTTTTTTTTGTCTTTGGTTTTTGTTGTTGTTGTTTTTACAAAAAGTGTGAGAAAAAAACATAATGATTTGATTTGATTTGAAGGCCTCCAAACAGGCCTAATGCTTCTACCAATCAAAAGCTACAATGTCACCAGGTAATGGTGAACTCGTTCTGGAGTTTTCTCTGCTTTTCTATCCCCCACCCACCTGATGCTCCCACCAGAATATTGGGTATGTATGTATTTGTGACTGTGTTCTTGTTTTGTGGCCATAAGAAGCTGACTTTGGACATGTTATCCCAGGCAACATGAAGCCAAGCCTCCATCACTCACACTCAACTCGGGACGGCAGCGGTCATCGTAACTGTTTATCTGCCAGTCAGAGGGAACCAAGAAATCTGTTTTTCTTTTTGCAGAGGCTTTTTTTTTTTAAAGGTTCTTCTGTAAGGGGACCCTGGATCCAGGTGATGGTTACACAGCTACCTTCAGTGGCCCTGAGTCTCTGAATCTGTCAGGTCTCCTGTGGTGAGGGTGCTTGCTCATCCTGGCTCCTCCACACAAAGCACTGGCTCTGCTCCTGGGGCCCTTGTTTCTCATCCTGCCTCTCCTCTGGCCTCACTCCCATATGAAGAGTGGAATGCAGCTCCCCCAGAAAGGAGTGTTGTGAGGCAGGGGGAGGGGCCCCATCAGTGGCTGCTGTCACCTGCCTCTGCAGCATCCCCTGCAGTCAGACTGAAGGAGCTGGTGGAGATGGGGGAACCGACTGCCATTTTTAATTTCCTCTGAGAAGAGACTTGGAGTTTGGTTCAAAGAAACATCCTAATCCCCAGGTTGATTTAAAAAATGCCACAGGTGAAGGAGGCCTGTAGGCAAGGAAGCCCCTCAGGGGGTCCTGTTCCTGGGGCTCTCCATTCGTCCTCTCTAGCCCTGGGGAAGGTCTTGGCTGCAATGACTGGGGACTGCTTTGTGTGAACCTTCCCTGCACAGCTCCTCCCTCGTCCTGAGCACACAGCTAGGCTGGAGAACGGGAGAGGGATGGCCAGCCCGCAGAGATGCGCGCTATGACTTCCCTTGGATCTCTAAGTCTTTCCTTCTACCTCAATAGCAAATAAAATCGCTTTCCAGTTAAAAGAAAGATCATTTAAGTCCACGTGACGCTCACCTGGTCCGACACTGGGGATGGAGAACGTACACCCCATCCTGGTATTTCTCACGCACAGTTTCTCGGTCTAGATTGGCCAGGGTTCTGGCAGCATGGGAAGCCTCCATGATGTGGTATGATTTCAAAGCTTCTGCCATTATAGAAACCCAGCCTGAGGAAGAGAACAGATATCCTAAGCAATGGTGCAAACTGGTCTCAGACTGTAGAGAGATGCTTCAAGTTCGAACAGGAGAGAGGGAGGCCAGTCTCAAGTGTCCGCCTGGGTGGGGAGGTGGAAACACCCCAGCGTGATTGTGTACTGAGAACCTCAGAGTCCCAAAGCACTGAGCTGTGATACCTCAACCAGACCCTCTGAGGGAGCTCAAGTAGGGAAGTGTGCAAGAGGCCTCTTCCTAAGAGAAAATGAAACACACAAGGCAGTTACCACAGGCGAGGTCCCAAGAGGATGAAATGCCGTGATGGATCTGCCCTGAGGAGGGCTCTCTCAAAATCAGCGGGTTGGTATGAAGAACAGCAAGCATACCAACAGCCTTGACTACAAATAAGGGAACAATTTCTTAGTGAATTTGATAAAATCCTTATCAAACCTAGAGCTCAGAAAGGAAAAATACTATTATTTCTAAAAATTATTAAAAAAACAAAGAGAAGTATGAATAACAGTATGATTTCATACATATGTATGAAAGTGCATGTGTGCACACACAGACACAAGAACACAAAGGTCTGGAGAGACACAGGACACCAGCTCATCAGTGGTCATGACCTCAGGAGGCAGGTGAGTGGAAGTGGGCTCTGAAAAAAAGGCAGGTTGAACTGTTTTTGCTGTATCTATCTTCTTAAGTATGTGCAAATACCTACTTGTATTTCATATGTACACGTACACACACACACACACACACACACACACACACACACATGACTTAAAGCAGAATATGGGCCTTGAGGTCAGAGACTTTATGCGCTGTGGAGTTACTGAAGCTCTGATGCTCCCCAGCCCTGTGCCACCAATCAGCACCCGACTTACATGAGGGCACCCTCATGCGTCCCTTCCCACTCCACAGCTGGGCTACCCACGGAGCAGGTGCACATCTCCCCTCAGAATGCGGCCCAAACATCAGTTAATGAGCAAAACTAAAGACTGCTGCCATACGAGGGCCGGGGTAGTCTGACAGAAACAGCAACTTTCATTTTCTTCTGTGAATTTTTCACTTCTTCTCTTGATTATATTTCTTTTTTGTCTTTTTTGGTCATGAGCCTTAGCCTATAATGGCTGAGCCATCTTTCCACCCCCCACTGCATACTTTATATTTTACTTTACAAATAAAAATTGTGTCTGAGAGCAGCGGCATGCAACATGATTTTTACTTTGTATGCATGTGAGGGCATGGGTGCATTTGGAGGTCAGGACAATTTGTGGAGTCAGTTTTCTCCTTCAGCCATGTAGGTTCTGGGGACAGAAATCACATTATCAGGATTGGCAGCAAGAATCCTTATCTAGTGAGTAACCCCATGAGCCACTGTATTGTCCTAAAGTGTGTTCAGTGTGCATCGCTGCACACACCATTTTCTAGTACTGAGAACACTCGGCATCTGTCCTGGCAGTGTTTGAGAATAATACGTTGTTACTAATGGGACTGCCCTCCCAGCCCATGGATCCTCAGGACATCTGCAACAAACAGCAGCAGCAGAACATGCTAGCAGCTGTCCTCTGGGTCTGTCCAAAGGCCCAGGCTTCTCACATATACAAACTAGAAATCTTATTACAGCTCGAACAAACAAGTGAGGCTCAAATCTGTGATAAAAATTTGTATCTTAAAAAGCTAATTTTTTAAAAAAATAGTGCCACATGGCCGTGAGTCCTCACTCAGTGGGGGAGGGCAAGATTATCAGGAGTCCAGGGCCACCCTCAGCTAGAGTGAGTCCAAGGCCAGCCTGGAGGCGGGGAGGAGAAGGAGGGAATGAACACTCACAACACGAAGGAGGGAAGAAAAACCATGGCTCTGATACTTTCTAAGAGCTGTCAAAACTCACGGATGTGACAGAGGTCATATTTCGTTCCAAAAGGTGAATGTCTGGGCCATTTCACGCTTCTCAGGTTTTCTGATTTCTGGATTTGATTTTATTAAAATTAAAATCTGCTGGCCTGGGGTTGAGGAGACAGATTAGTGGTTAAGAGCACCGGCTGCTCTTCCAGAGGAGCAGGTTCAATTCCCAGCACTCTCAAGGCAGCTCACAATTATCTGTAACTCCAGTCCCAGGTCCTGGCTTCTATAGCATTAGGTATGCATGTGGTGCACAGACTTACATACAGCCAAAATATTCATGCATGCCTTTAGTCCCAGGCAGGGTTACAGAGTAAGACCCCATCTTTTTTTTTTTTTTTTAAAAAAAGCAACAATAATAACATCTGCTGATCTAAAGACACTTAAGGGTCGAGTCATAGTTTCTAATATATATGTGTACAAAGGTATATGTGTGTCTATCTCATTTATGTATGAATAATGTTTGTATATGTATGTACGTATGTACATGTGTCCTAGTTAGGGTCACCGTTGCTGCAACAAAACACCGTGACCAAAGAGCAAGCTGGGGAAGAAAGGGTTTATTTGGTTTACACTTCCAGATCATAGCCCATCATTGGAGGAAGTCAGGACAGGAACTCTGGAACCTAGAGGAAGGAGCTGATGCAGAGGCCATGGAGGGGAGCTGCTTACTGGCTTGCTTAGCATGGCTTGCTCACCCCACCTTCTTATAGAACCCAGGACCAACAGCCCAGGGATGGCACCACCCACCATGGCTGGGCCCTCCCCCACTGAGCACTAATGGGAAATGCCTTACAGCTGGATCTCATGGAGGCACTTCCTCAACTGCGACTTCTTCTCTGGTGACTCTGGCTTGTGTCAAGCTGACACAGAACACTAGCCAGGACAGTATGGATTCTGTATATATGTGTATATATGCTTACGTATGTGCTATAATGTGCTGAATGAGAATGGCTCTATAGACTCATATATTTGAGAGCCGGTGGTACTGTTTGTGGGGGTTAGGAGGTATGGCTTTGTCAGGAAATGCCTACAATGGGCGTGGGCTCTGGTTGTTTATAGTCTTCTTCCACACCTAGTTCATGTTCCCTGCTTCCTGCTTCCAGCTCAGGGTGTGAGCTCTCAGCTTCCTCTCCTGCTGCCATGTATCCCTGCCATGACGACTCCCATCCCTCTGGAACTGTAAGTCAAATACATTTTCTTCCTTAAGGTGCCTTGGTCATGATATTTTATGGCAGCAACAGCAAAGTAACTAATACAGGTACGTACACACACACACACACACACACACACACACACACACACACACACCATATGTATAATGTGTGTATCAGTTTTCTGGGCCCCCACTAACCAAAGATGAGATAATTCAGCACTGGTTTATTAAGTACAGTAATAAATTATAAAGCTTAAAAACTTTTTGAAGAGAAATCCATGAGCTCATCTTGCTAGGAGGGAGGGAAGGAGGAAAGCAAGTGAGAAAGGAAGACGGCAGATGTGCGTCTCCTCCCAGGAGCACAGGCTGCAGAGGAAATGCTTTAGTTCTACAGTGGGGCTTTACTGTCTGCCTCTTGGTTAACTAAACCACATCAACAATTCAATGATCTTCATGTCAAAGTCTGCTCACCTAGGACGGCTCTCCATGTTGACGCCTCAGTGTGGAACTGGAAACCCTCGCAATCCCTGTCGCTACCCAAACAACATACTGTAAAGGACCCAAGAAAATCCTAAGAGTTTTAAGTCTACTGAAAAATTAATGTAGCATGAGGTGAGGTGGCGGGAGAACAGGGGCTCGACCCAGCATCCTTGGTGCACACAAAGCTGTTACCTGAGTGGATTATGGCAGGGTGAAGATGCTCGTTCAAGGCCATGTTTCCAATGATCCTCATGATGTTTCTCTGTACTTTGGGGCAGTCCTTGTGAAGCTGGTAGAGTCTCTGCAGTAGTTGCAGGCCCCCGCCTGCCTCAATGTGGTCACAGTGTGAGGGTATCTAGCACAAGTTAACAGAGCCCCCGTTATATCGCACTGGTGAGTCCCCACATCCCCTCTGTGCTGCAATGCCGCAGTTCCTCTTATTCCTGCCTCGTTTCCATTCCACAGGTGGGAATCAAAGATGACTAAATATAGGCACGCATTTCAGTCAGGTCTAACGCTCTAAGTTACAGTTAGCGAGCTCAGAACCCTGGACAGGGCTTCTGCAGATGTGGATAAGGATGCCAGTGGCAGTAGTAATTCCTGCACCCCACACCAGATTTGCTTAGCTTAAATATCACGGGCAATTGGACACTGTGTCAAACATGTTCCCCAGGTGATGCTTATACACAGGGATACATACATAGCAAGATGCTGTCTAATAAATAAGCAAACCGTGACAATCACTAAGCCAAAATACCTCCAAATCACCAGTACTTATAACTCAGCTGCACAGCCATTCAGTATTTCCCTTTCCTCTCTATGGATGTCTTATGGAGTTAGCCGTCTGACGCTGTCTCTCTACAGATATCTTATACACATTAGCCATCTGATACTGTGTGTAAAATGATCTGGGCAAAGGAGATATGCCTCAAAGATAAATGTCATGTTATAGCATGGATTGCTTCCTTTATATGCAATTAAAAACTGTTTAAAATATGTAATAAGGGACTGGAGAGATGGCTCAGCAGTTAAGTTGCTATTCCTTCAGAGGATCTAGGTTCAATTCCCAGCACCTACATAGTGGCTCATCACTGTAACTCCAGTTCCAGAGAATCCAATGCCTCCAAAGGCCTCAGGCATGCACATGGTAAATAGACACACATGCAGGCAAAATACTCATACAAAAAAATGAATGTGATAAAATTTTTTAAAAATTAAATATGTAATAAAAATGAAAGTCATGTATTGGTGCTATATCATACATATTATTTCTAACAGTTAAAAGTGGAATTGTTTTAAATATAATATTTTTATTAATGAAGAATTTTATACCTGCATACAAAGTACTTGGTCATATTTATAGATTACTCCCCTGAGATCCTCATCTCCACCTCTCTCCCTCCCAAATTTGTGTCCAAGCAACTATGATAAGCCATATTTTGGAATGCAATTTACCTCTGAATGCTTTACTATAGCTTCCAAGCAGAACATTTCCACCGTGGCCGAGGGAACTTCTCCAAAGCTTTCTGCATAAGGAAGCCCATTTCCTCCAAAGCACCACAGTCCTCCCTGAAGTTAGGACAAAGGGTTTACAGACTCAGCTGCTGGCTAACCCTGGGTAATACATGCAAATCAGGGTCTCAAATACATAAATGTTCAGGGTACTTTGAGAACTTAAAGAGAATGCTATGCACACCTCTATTGTTTATTAGAATAGGAAATACATCAGGGGATTCCTGGGACAATTCTGACATCCTTTCCCATCTTCATTCCTGTCCTCTCCTTGCAAACTCAATTCTCACCCACTGGTCCAAATGCTCCACTGTCATCCCCAGTTCTTACTAACTCATACAGATTATGGTAACGGAGTCAACTGAAAACTAGTAAGTTTTTAATGGAAAAGCACTACCAAACAAAAATATTAAAGGCATGGTGGCTTTTAATTCTTCCCAGTTGAAAGTGAAGCTTGTGTGTGAGAGTAAGGAGAGCTAGGAGGCTGAGGGACAGCTCAGTTTGTTGCACACGCCTAACAGGCCCAGTTCAGGCCCCAGCTACCACATAAAAAACAGGTAGGCAGTGCACATTTGTGACCTCAGTTCTGGGTATGAGAGGGGGAGCACACCCAGATCCCAGGAGTTTGCTGGCCAGCCCATCTAGATGAATTGGCAAGCTGCAGATTCAACAAGACACCATCTCAAAAAATAAGGTGGAAAGAAATAGCCAAAGATCCCTGATATTGAGATGGGTACACACATGTACACATATGTACACATACACACATACGCCAAATGATAAAACAGAGTGGCAAGTACTGCTAGAGACTAAAGGCTATGACCAGTATGCTGAGTCGTGCTGACATGCTAACACACAGCATCATGTGCTCCCGAGGAGCACAGTCAACACTGATGAGACTACAGCCCAGTCTGGCCCATGACTGTGTAAAGAACTCCAGCAGCCTTCACACCCTGTGCCACTGGACCGGCTTTCCGTCCCGCAACTGTCTACTGGACAGTTCTGCTATCCTTGGTTCCGACCTGAAGGCAGCCATAGTGGTAAATAGTCTATGCATGCCTTCAACATAAAACACATAGGGCTTGGTTTAATATGCAGAGGAAGCCTCTGGATGGTTTTAGGCAGGGACAAGAGCAGTTCTTACTAAGGTTTGCTAAGGCAGCTAGGAAAATGTGTAAAACGTTTCAAGTGCTATTAGACACAGACAGACAAGCTCTAAGGGGGAAAAAGAAATCAAGAGAAACCCTCGGCGCTAGAACTGGAGACGGCAATGCCTAGGAGGTGAAGCAAGGGCTGAGGATGTCAACTGCCCGTAGGCCCTCATCTGTGTTCAGAGTAGACGATGACTTCTCAGGGCTCGTAGGACTTGAATGTGCTTCTAAGAGGGAATGGGAAAAGCTGCCATCAAGTGTTACGGAGAAGACAGACTGAGTGGTGGAGCTGGGAGAAGAGACTCCTACACACAGCCTCCATTCTGCTTCATGTAAAGCACTGGCCCCAGCCTTCAGTGTGAAACCTTAATTTAAAACTACAAAATGTGTTGACCAAAAGCCTATCAGATGCACCATGGTCCTTGAGCAGCATCAAAGGGAGCTGGGTGCGAGGCTGCCAAGCGACAGCCGTTTCTGGCAGCTGTGCCCTGGTGTTCAGAACGTCTACCTGTGGTTAAATGTCCCTGATGTCACAGACAGGCACCAGGCATCTTCCCACACGTGTGCACTAACAAAGGGACTACGTCCCTCCTCTTTGCAGGATTTTTTAGAGGATCATGGGAATAAATTCCATAAAAGGGAGCGCTTGTCCACCATGATGTAGGAGGGGGAAAGGTTATCTTACCCCGTGACTATACCACCAACTTTATGAATCAAAAACTTCTTTAAAATCCACAACACAGAGCCCACTGTGCCATGACTGCCTCTGCCCATTCCTGCCACACAGAGACTTTCTGTCTGTGTGTCTGTGTGTCTTTCTGTCTCTATCTGTCTCTGTTTCTGCTTATTTAATTTTTGCTTACAGTATGTGTCCCTCCACAGAATTCCTTCCTTCAAGAGAGTAAATACCAAGAGACCTTCAAGGAAAGGAAAAACTCTGCTCCCTGGGGACAAATCTATCCTTCATGGTGCTCGGAACTCACTGGAAAGCAATCAGGTTATCCAAGAGTGAAGCTGGAGTCCAAAGGCACAGCCAAGGAAAAACAGCCACAAGGAAGGCCAGCACCAGCACAGGCCAGAACCAGACCCTAACAGGGAACTAATACAAGAATCTGGAAGAGATTTTAAAACCAATGAGGAAGTGAAAGAAGAAACAAAAGCCAACGCTACAGAGATGTGTAAGAGCTGTAGAAAGTCAGGGTGAACAGACTCAACGTGTGCCCCAGGAACACTAGCAAGTGCTCAGGGCTGAGTGGCTGGCCGGGCTGCAACTTAAGCAAATGAGAAAGACCAGAGGGTGAGGCTGGGTCAAGGGAAGGCAGGTTTGATCTGCTAAATTCAAGATTCTTACAATAATCCAAAGAGTGGGGGCTGATAATCGAACCTAGGCCTAGATGTATCAACTCAAATGCTGAGGATCAACCCCAAGTCTAGAGCATGCTTGGCAAGCACTCTATCACTGAGCTGTACCCCAATCCTGGCTAATGATTCTGGAGGTGCAACACCAGAGTTCATGCCCACAAAACAATAAATGAGCTCAAAAGCTGAGTTAAGGCCTCCTATAACCAGAACCTTTCTTATTCACGTCTCTTTATCTTTCTCTGTGATTCCCAACCCCATGCAGCCCACTGCACAGTACAGAGTCCGTAATTGGAAAATGATTGAGGTTCTGAAAGCTAGCCCCAGCATAGTGTCCTGGGGACGTGTGAGCACTCAAACCATTTGCTGAATAAGATAGAACAAACCTTCTGCGCAGCCAGGCTCTGGCTGCTTTCACTAAGAGCCAAGGAAGTAAAATACTGGAGACACTCATCGAGCTCTGTCTGAGGTAAAGAAGCCAGCAAATGCCTGAGTTCCTCTTCAGTGGAGGAATCCTGAAATGAAAGACAAAAACACAGTCTTCAGACAGACACTCAACACTGAGTGTAAAAAACAGAACACCCGAAGAGTCAGCGCCAAGACATGCATAAAGTAACACAAAGGATGAACTGTGGGAAGTACATAATCATTTATTTCTGGTTCTACGCTGCCTTGCCTGCTGTCACACTTAAAGACCTATTACAAGGGCTGGAAAGACGGCTTAATAATAAGAGCACTAGCGCCTTTTGCAAAGGATATGGGTTTGGTTCCAGCACCCGCATGATGGCTCACAACCACCTGTAACTCCAGTTCAGGAGACTGCTTGCCCTCTTCTGGCCTCTAGCATATATGTAGTGTAAGTATATACATGCAGTCACCACACATACATATAAAATAAAATCTTAAAAATAAATGAAAAACCAAAAGGACCGTTGGAAATTGTAACTCAATTTTTACCTTTAGGGACTTCTTGTTAGCTTGACTTAAAATGAACCCTACCCTTTATAATTAAAGATATCATTAAACCTGGTGCTTGTTAATATTTCATTTTTCATGATAATTAATTACTTATTCACTTTTCTATTTTTCAAATGATCATTTATAGCAAAGCTTCAGTTTTATTTTCTCATCTAAGGAAGGTACGCAAGACATCTGCAGTTGAGCACGCTTCTGGGCACGGTTCTCACCTGGACAAAGTTAGCAATGTCTGGAGACAATTTTCTTTGTTACAACTTGGGGGACTCCTTGCATCTTAGGAGCAGTGTCTAGGAATGCTGCTAAATGTTGTTTGATCTAAGATGTCAAGAGTGCTCAGGATGGGAAAACTCTGCTCTATAAAACAAGGTGGGCTGGAGGGACGACTTGGCAGTTAGGAGCATGCATTGCTTTTGCAGAGGACCCAAGATTGGGTCCCAGCACTCAGGTCTGGTGGCCCACAACTACCCATCACTCCAGCTCTTGGGGATCTGTTGCCCTCTTCCGACATCCCTGGACACTTGGACTCACGTGCACATATCCATATCTAGGTACACAGACATAGTTAATCCTTAAAACAAAACAATCCCAGCACTCAGGAGGCAGAGGCAGGTGGCCTGGTGTACAGAGAGAGTTTCAGGAAAGCCAGTTCAACACAAAGAAACCCTGTCTTGAAAAAATCAAAATCAAAACAAAACAGCAACAAAAAACTTACTACAAGGCACTCTCTCTTGGGTGCTGACACGCTATGGAAGAACCTAGCAGAACAGACTCTCTCAACCCACAAAGGCAGAAAATGCCAGCACAACAGCCACTCGTGAGGGGCACAGCCCTGTAGAAACTAGGATTTCGGCTCTGCATCTGGTTCACCTGTTCTTCAGAGTCAGGCACCAGTTCTATCTATCTGCACCTCTAGCATGATTAATAAAAACCCAGAGACAGATATTGGGGTTCAACCTGAAGGTCAGAAAAGCAAAACAGTCAGCCACTGGCTCTTTCCTCAGTCTGAAATGGTGATCCTGCCTCTAGGAATCTCAGAATGAGACTGTGTGAGAGCTGTCTCCCCGTCTTGTAATCCTCTCTAGTGCTGGGATTAAAGGCGTGCACCACTACCACCCGGTTTCCATGGCAAACTGTGTAGCTACTGGGATTAAAGGTGTGTGTGACCACTGCTGGTCTGTAAGGCTGTTTTACTCTCTGATCTTCAGGCAAGCTTTATCAGTAAAATACAAATGAAATATCACTATATGCACCCACACTAAAAATACACACTAAACCTTTCACTCCCTTGCTTACTTCTTTTAAAGATGGCAAAGGAGGGGGTGGGAGAAAAAAACGAAGATCACTTTCTTTGCTTCGTGCCAAACCAATAAGGGTCCTTGGGTCACAGGCTTGAGCAATTACCCTGTACTGATAATCTGTTGGGAAAATATAGTTTTTGTTAAAAGCAAGGTTAACTCAAAGTTATCACAAGATTAAATAAAAGCACCCCAATTCTTAAAATGTTCTATAACTTTGTAATCCCAAATTTCCCAAGTATTTTTCCCAAGTCAGTTGTATCTATAGTATCTGAAAGTTAAACATCCAGTGTGGCTCACAGTTACCACCAACCACACACCCGGGAAGCTCAACACCCAACGTGCCTCACAGTTACCACCAATCACACAATTCTCAACACTCCAGGTCATGCTCTGACCTTTTAAAAAATCTGCAGTTCAAATGTGAAAACTGGTAACTCAGAATTAGGAGTTTTTCTCAGTGAAACAGTCCAATCTTGTTTTGGTAGAACAAGCCTCAGTTTGGGAGCTGCCTTACCAACCACACTTGGACTGCCAGATCAGCAGACTTCCAGGTTAGCCTGGAGTTTTTCTCAAATGTTTGAGAGAGAGAGAGAGAGTTTCCATATTAAAACTGCCTGACTCCTCCCTTCCTTAACCTCATTCCCCTCCTCTGTTACAGCAGGAACCAAGAGGTGGCTAACCCACGAGCCCGGTCCTCATTACCGTGCCAGTGGTGGGCCTGTGACATTTCCCGCACGGCCTGCAGTCGTGCGGCTCTGTCCTCCTCCTGGCTCTTCCTTAGGAGCAGCCACACTGCGCAGTCATGATCTTCTATGTCAGCCGTGCTGAAAGGGCCTTCGCACACACAAAGGACATGGCGATATAAACAGTTAAGGCGGCATTTGTGCATCTGTATACTGGATGCATGTGCACATTTCTGTGCATACACTATATGCATTCACCATTTCTGAATTAGAGCCTCTCATTGAAGCAGCTCTCCAAGCTCGCTGGGTAGTAATCCCCATGATCCTCCTGTCTCTGCCTCCCGAGGACTGAGACCACAGGCATGGGCTTCAGTTACTGTTTTTTATGGAGGTTCTGGGTTGGGATCCTCGTGCATGAAGGACAAGCACTTTTCTGATTGAGCCATCTTCCCAGCTCCAAAATGGTTTTATGTTCACTGTTATATTAGATGGTAACTTGTAACTAGTCAGAAATTGTAATGGAGCACTGAATGCAGATACAGATGATGACCAAATGTTTGATCTTAGCTTTGTCATATTAATTTTTTAAATTTACTACAAGTATTACCTGTATACTTTTAATATTCTATGTTATCTTTGATGTGCTCATTTTTAGTCTTGGGTTCACTGTCCAGACCAGTGATGTGAACTTGCGTCTACACGTACCAGACCAGTGATGAGGACTCAAGCGTCTACACGTACCAGACCAATGAGGACTCACGTCTACACGTACCAGCCCAGTGATGAGGACTCGTGTCTACACGTACC